TTTATTTAATTTTTTATTAATTTAATTTAATTTTTAATTTTTAAAGTTGTCCATAAACTTTTGTCCATCCACTGTAGATATATCTATGAGATATAAGTTGGTATTTGAATAAAAATTATAATAGGCTATAATTAATTTATATTTTATATAAAAGATTGTTAATATAATGACTAATAAATATTGTTTAATAAAGATTTCATATTTAATATCCATTTGCAATTAAAAAAAAAAAAAAAAGTATAAGAATTTTTATAATTATTATTAAATAATAAAGTTATATTGAATATCAATAAGTTGAATAATTGAAATTCATTTTAATTATTATTGTATTGTTTTAATAATTATTAAAATATTAATTACATATTCTTTCAATCTAATAGATTTTTATATTATTTTGATATAAGTAAATAATACAGAATATGATTGATATTTTATATATTATAAATCTTTTAATAAAGATAAGCTGGTTTTAGTTTTTTGTATAATAAGATTTTTATATAAAAATTGAAAAACATTTAATATGTATAAAATTAAATAGAAACTATAAAAACTAAGCAAAAAACAAAAATTTTGAAAAAATAAAATATTTTTATTAAAATAGTTATTGTATTGTTGTTTATAATATTAGAATAGTATTTGTATAAAAAGAATATATAGAAATGGATAAAATTATTTCTTTAAAAAAAGCTTATTTTAATAAAGCAAATATAACAAAAAACATTTCACCTCTTTCCAAAGGTTATTTTTCTAATTAAAAGATTATTTTCCTTAACCAAACCCCTTACATTTCTGCAGTTCTAAACAAGAGTTGTTCTTTCCAACCCTAAAGAAAATATATTCTTGAGGGTCAAGACTGTTTATCAATCCATGGCTCTTGGCATATTACTCCAAAAAAAAATATTTTTAAAAAATAAATTTATTAATATACTGTATACAACACAAACTTTCATTTTATTTTGATCATGCAAAAAAATGCAAATAAAAAATTTTCTAGTAAAACTTGGAAAGATCAAAATGTAGCTACAGCAAATATATATTTTAAAAGAAATAATTCTCATGTAACTCGTAGACAAGTTTGCTACAGCGTTCCGCTGCCTTCAACATCGTTTTAACATGTTCCACTAAGAATTTCACTTGTGATTCTTCTCCAAGGGCTTCATGAACTTCCCATGTGGCCACTTTTCCAACGGGTAATGTTTCGTTTTCCTTGAAGAAAGTCTCATGTTTATAATTTATAAACTGTTTTGTGTATGCAATTATGAAAATTTAAAGTAATTAACGATAAGGTAAACAGCATTAGGGCTAGAAGCTACCAACCTCAACAGTCCAATGGACCTTGCTTCCTTCACAATTGGCTTTAATTTTGTTGAATTCTTTTTGATCCTCCAAGGGACGTTGTTCGACTCGCGTAACTTCAGCAATAAATGGAAAATGTAATTTGCATCTTGATACCGTTTTATAGGTTATTGATTTGACATAAAGGTAATCGTTAATATTTTCACAAGTTATAGAGTTTTGATCTGGACTGATAGCCGTCGTTTTAATGAAGGCACTGAATGGCTTGACATCGGGACGAATAAGACGTCTTGTTTTTAAGCTCATCGTAAAATCGAAATTACTAGAAACAAGTCATTAATGCGTCATTAAGAGTGAATATCAATAGAACCTTTTTCGTTGTTTTCTTACCGCTCCAATATCGTCCAATAAATGTCAACATTGTGATCCCAAGGAAATGCAACTTTTTTCAAAGAGACGGCACAGTCCACATGCATATATACCCTACTATATTCGCTAGAAACACTGTTTCTAGCATCAGCGACTATTTCGAAAAATGAGTAATCTTCCCATAGCATTCCTTCAAACATCTCATCATCAATTAACTTTGGACCAAAATCCATCAAGTCAGAAGCACTGAAGAGAAGATTAGTAAATTATGCTATTTCAAGATAAATCAGTGAAATGTAGGTGAAACATACATATTTTGATGAAAAGGTTTTACACGATGTTCCTTGACAATTATATCCTTTAAATCGGAGAATCCCCAAAGGTTTTTTGTGATATCTTGGTTAACGTTTGTGAAATAAACTTTCCCCAAGCTATATAATAAAAGTTCAATTGGTTGTCGAAAAAGGTTTTATTGTGTGCAATGCGGATGTGATTTCTGATATTTCTGGTTTACCTTCCGGTAAATCGAACCTCGCCTTTATGCGCTCGAACGTATTCAAACCTGGATTTGCATAATAATTGAGTTTTTCGAATTTTAAAAGAGATCGGTGGGCAGAAACAGAAAACCATTTACCCTGGCACTAATGCCTGTTTAATTTGCGCAAAGTTGTAATCTCTGACTCTGAGTAAGAGTAATTAAAATAAAATGAAATGAAAACTCCCAATAAATATTAAAGGTCAAACTATTTGTTCATAGTATTTTAATTTACATTATTCCGGGTTTACGTATATTTCGGTCTTGAGTGCTATTAGGACCTTTTTCCAGATTCATAGACTTAATCGGCACAATAGTCGAGTTATCATCATAATCTCTTTCCTCAAGTGGCTCCGGTCGCGTATACCAAGCCGAGGAAGTACTGCCGCTCGAATTTTCATCAACATTTGCATATTTGGTCGCACGATTTCTTCTCGCCTTGGCCATTTGAAGTTTCTTGACATCCTGATGAGTCTTTTTGTGCTCCTCCGTGGAAGATGAACGCTCCAGGGACTCTGAGTCCAAAGTCGACGCTTGTGGATTAGATGAAGATGCCGCAACGTTTGGTAAATCCGCCCACGGTGTCTTAGTTTTGGGAAGCTCTATAGCTGGCCAACTGTGAGCTTCGAAATCATTCGAATTTTGACCTTGTAATTCGATGGCTTTGCCACGGTTCGATTTTTCACTTAGAACAAACGCTCTGCCGTTTACCTCATAGTTAGGGGTAACCCATTTCTGACCGGATGGGTCCCGTATCGCTGTAACTATTATGTAGGGATCTTTTGCATCGATTCTAAACGCTTTTCCAAAATAGATGTGATCTTCATGTTTTAAAAAACACAATTTAAACTGAAGATTTATATTGTGATGATGCACGAGCGGTATTTCTATTTTGTACGACTCTCGTTTCTAAAGTAACGATTTATCGTGTTTCATAAAATTGAATCTTAAAGTGAAAAACCAGAAAAATGTCATCGGTACATACGTATAACTCTTCTAATGTTTTTAACCTTTTCACAGCCTCATTGATGTCCTCTTCTTCTCCATGAGTGATATGAATTTCCTACAAAGGGTATGAGAATCAACTAAGACAATGTGACATATGCTTATGAAAAAGATACATATACGAAGAATATATTGCCTTTTTACGCGGTATCAAGTAACCAATGATGTTGCATGAATCGCAAATTTCTTTCCAGGCATCGGGTTCGTAATTCTCCCGCTTCCAACGCAATAAACGATGAACATTTCCAATAGCTGTTGAAAAATAATATTTCCTTTTAATGCTTTCATCCCGTTCTTGGAGAAACGGGAACGGATCATCATCATCATCTAATGGCGGAGGTCTTCCGACCAATACGTTGTCAGTTTTCTCGGAAACGCGTTCAACCTCACGAGGAAGAACAGTAAAGACAGCTTTTGCGTCATTTGACTATAGGGATCGACAATAATAAATTTCTGCACGTAAATATGAATTCGTTGGTCATATATTGATTTTCTTACCATCTTCTGCAATAGCTTAAAAAAATCCCTACGCCTGCGAGAAATCAGAATTAAATGGTTTTCACGTAATTCCCAAGATTTTTATAGATTTAATTTAGAATTTTTGAGGCTTACACTTCGTCCATTATGTCATTTGAATTTGCCTTAATCTCAAAGGCCTACCGCGAGAAATACAAACGCAAGTTATTGCTAAAAGGTTTTCTGACCGAGAACCGTTAGGACAAACCTGTTTTTCGGGGAGAAAGGTGATTCTAACGTCATACGAATTGTATTCTTCTTCTATGGAACTGATTTCAAAAAAAAAAAAAAATCCTTAATGCCCGAAAAATTGTATCTAACTGGTAAAATATGTTACCCACTTCCATGAATGTCTTAATTTCGTTATTTGTGATTCGGTCCATTCCCAGATCGTGTACACAATGTGAGTATATACGAGAATTTCCGAAGTTGAACTGTAGTCATCCATCATATTACTTTTAAAATAAACTGGCGAAAAAGTGTGTAGGTTATGGTTTTATTGTGCATGTGAGATGTCATTCAAGTTACACGTGATCTTTGATAAATATTATTTTATCAGTACAAGTTTATCTCGATTATAAATATATTGTGCGAGTCACGGTCATAGTAGATTATTAGTTCTATTTGGATAAATTTTTATTTTTAAAAACCACGGGATATCCATTCACTACATCCTAGTAACTTGCC